TACATGTAACTGGTCATTTAGTGAACACATTTTTCTATCACTCTAACTGAGTCATTACATCTATCAAAAATCCCAAAATGAAAATAGAAGTTTGTTAAAAAATATTTTCTTTTTATACATGTACCTTTACATGATACAAATATGTGCATAAAAAAGTAAACACTCAAATAAACTTGTAAAAGTGGCTCTTTTGAAAAATATATATTTGTGCAGAATTTTTTCAAAAATATTAGTTATAAATCAGCATTCTATGATACAAGAAAGGCCATAATGAAAGATCAAGTTTGATTACGTTTATTAAAATACTTTCAACAGCAAGTGCCTGTGTGTTCAGTATGTGTTGGGATACCTTGGGTTTGTGTAAGTTTCATTTGAGTTAGCGTAAGAGTTAGTAATGTTGTGCAGAATTCAATAAGTTTTGTGTACATTCCATACTTACTTTTTTTATCACGAGAGATTTCAGCATGTGTTAACTGATCTTCATCAGCTGTTTAAAAATTGTGATTGAATTTTAAAGTCTCCTTTGCTTGCAATTAAATGTTTGATTTATTTTTTTTGTTTGTGTTAGATGTTATCAGTGTGTTGACTTCATTTAATAAGATAAAATATATGTGAAGTAACTATTAAAACTAAGTTATATTTTAGTGATTTGACATTTATCTTTCTAAGCTAATGTAAGTATTAGAATGATATCTGTATATCAGCCACTATTAGTTTATAAATGATATCTGAATAGATATTTTGTTAGACACAGAGAGATTTAGAATGATATCTTTAGTTTAAAATATATTTTATACATAGAAATGGATTAAACAGCAGGCCTGACTGCCTATGATCGTTCTCTCCCATAGGTCAAGGTACAATAACAAGTACATGTAAACATTGAAAATATGTATGAAGAGTAGATTATCAATTGGTACATATTTTGAATGAATTCTGAGAGAGAGAGAGAGAGAGAGAGAGAGAGAGAGAGAGAGAGAGATTAAACAAATTAACAGGTATCTTTGTCAGCCATTGTGAGTTTAGGAAATCTTTGTCAGCTACTGCGAGTCTTTATAGATATTTTATCCTGAGTAGCTGGCTACTGGCAGTTTTAGAATGATATCGGTGTAGATATCTTTGTCAATTACTACAAGTTTTAGAATAAAATCAGAATAGCTAATGTCATTCTTACAATGATTTCTGTTTAGAAACCTTTGCAAGCTATTGTGAATCATAATTGTTTAGATATCTTTGTCAGCTACTTTGAGTATTAGAATGATATTTGTATAGATACCTTTGTCAGCTACTGGCAGTTTTACAGTGATATCTGTGTAGATATCTTTGTCAATTACTACAAGTTTTAGAATGATGTCATAATAGCTAATGTCAGTTTTACAATGATATCTGTTTAGATACCTTTGACAGCTACTATTTTAGATATCTTTGAAAGCTACTGCAAGTTTTAGAATAACATCTTTATATATTCCTGTCAGCTACAGTGAGTTTTAGAATGATATCTTTGTAGGTACCTTGTAGGTACCTTTGTAGCTACGGTGAGTTTTAAAATGATATTTTTAAAATACATTTGTCAGCTACTCTTAGTGTTAGAGTGATATCTGTATAAATACCTTTGTCAGCTACTGTGAGTTTTAAAATAATATCTTTATAGATACCTTTGTCAAGTTACTGTGAGTTTTAGAATGTTATCCTTTGTCAGCTATTGTGAATTTTAGAATGATATCTATATAAATACCTTTGTCAGATACTCTAAGACTAGAATGATATCTGTGTAAATACTTTTGTCAAATACTCATAGTGTTAGAGTGATATCTATACAAATACTTTGTCAACTACTCTTTGGTTTATAATGATATCTGTATAAATACCTTTGTCAGATACTCTTAGTGTTTGAGCGATATTTTTATAAATACCTTTGTTAGCTACTCTTAGTTTAAGAATGATATCTGTGTATATACCTTTGTCAGATACTCTGAGGTTTAGGATGATATCTGTGTATATACCTTTGTCAGCTTCTCTAGTTTTAGAATGAGATATCTGTATTAGATATCTTTGTCAGCTAGAATGAGATATCTGTATGGGTCCCTTTGTCAGCTACTGTGAGTTTTAGAATGAGATATCTGTATATACCTTTGTAAGCTACTGTGAGCATCTTTGCCTTTCCGACTGCCGTTGAGTTGGCCACCGACATAAACTGGTATTGCTTGGAACTGTAGTCAATGGGAGAATTAGGCGAGCCTGGCTCAGAGCTAAAACAACTCGTACATATACAACATACCTTTATTTTGTTTTAAATTTATTTCTTAATTTTGCCATTCCCACATTCTATCTTAAATAAATAAATAAAAACAGTCAAACCTCGTTTTCCTGACCAAGAAATATAGAGGGTAGAATACTTTTTTTAAGAATAAGAGATTGGAACTTCCAAATCAATTTGATAAAGAAGTAAATATTTAAGATACCAGATTTTTACTGCAATATTTCAGAAAATACAGTCAAATTCCAGAGGTTTATAAATAAACCATGCAGTGGCATTTGGGAATCAAACAGAAAACTTTTATTTCAATTTGAAAATAAATGAAAATTATCTGACAAGAATTTATTAACTTTTCTTTTTCTTTTATATTGTACCAAATAGATGACTATTAAAATCATTTAAGATACATCTTTTAAGGTGACAGAAAATTATTATTTAGTCTACCATACACATTTATTATACATGGTTTTACGCAGTACAGTTAAGGCTACACATGAAAAAAATATTAATGGCAATGAGGTCATAATGAGGTTTGATGTCATGACAGTTGCTCCGCCGGAGTGCCGCCCTGATTGATCCTTGTAAGGAAATAAAGCTCAAAATAACTATTTACCGATATTTGCAAGAATTTGTAACAACTAAACGGCAATATTTTCATGTTTAAATAAATAGTTATTAGTGATTTTCTCTTACATAGAATATCATGTTTTAAAAATAATTCTCTTTTCTATATATGTGCCGTTTGGCTGCATTCGGCTTCAGCCAAGTGCTTGCACTCGATGACACAGGAATGTTGTTTACATCTACAAACGTGGCAACATCAGCTGAGATATGCAGTGGATTTAAATGCAATAACCAGGCAATCTTTAAAGAAAATATGGATAAGATAAGAGACAAGGCATTGTGTATCCCTGTTACGAGAATAATTATTTCGGAAAATTATGAACGTTTAGCAAAACATTCCCTAGTACGTAGGTGATGTATTCTTTATAAAAACAGATGCATGATTGAACAACTGACCAATAGTAATTTTGGATGTTATTTAATGCATGTATTGATTTTTTATATTGGTCTAAAGAAAACAATGGTTAGAAAATATCATTTTATTGTTGGGAACAATTTTCAAATATCAAAAATATTAAAAATACTGATAATTATGGTTGTACTTTCTCCAGCTAAATCCTACAAAGCAGGGAAAAACGACTCCGCATAATCTCGATAATGTCATAATCATGATAATGTGCCAAGTACAAAAGTCAAAATATGACGTTCTCAGGAAAATGTAACAGCACGAAAAGTATCTGAATTCAGGTAGTGTGATGGATGGCAGCGTTACTTTAAACTACAAATAGATATTTTATCTATTGTGCTAACAGTTATTCAGTTTAGATGTTGCTTGAACTGTTATTTGTAAAGCTTCATTCACAAGAGAATTACTCCAACATTGAGGGAATGCTGATGAATCTTTAGCAACGTGTAGCACAATACAAGCCGCGAGTGAGAAAAAAAGTCACACTAGCTATCTATGATATCTTTTTTTATTGTAAAACTAAAGAAGCATGAAATTTTCTACTGAAAAATAAGGTAAGATTACTTTATTTGGAAGCTAAAGCCCATCCTGCAAAAAGAGGATCTACCTTCACTTCTGCTTATTATATCACCAGCATTCCATAAGTCCGGAGTTCTTACTAGAACATCATCCTGGTTCACATGTACCACAACGCTACCGGTGACACTGCCACCTATTTATAGTATTAGCTGGATCAAAAAATAATATTATTGACCAATATTTTTGAGTGATATGCTTATCCAAGCAATCTTCTTGTCCATGAAAACACGTATAGACCAGATCGAGGCGCTATAAATCACCCAGTGTGGGCATGATAGGCATTTCCAGCATTAGTGATTTAAGAAATGAATGATATATTATTTCCTGTGATCGAAGTATCAAAGAAAAAATTTGGACGGAAAACGTACGCCCATTGATGAAAACGTTTTCCGTTCAATTTTTTCTTCGATACTTCATCTAAGGAAAAAATATTACCTTATTTCTCATCATTTAATTATGATTTTTAATCAATAAAATGAAACTTCCTTTTACTTTACTATGAAATTTACGCATCAAAAACAGTGCGTATGAATATATCACAAAAACGTTAACGTTGCTGAAATTCAAATGGCCTAACGAGAAAATAAGTTCTCATATATTGTCGTGTCATTACCAACCTTTTCAAACAATGATTAACAGTTCTTGAACACAAAAAACTTACCTGTTGTGTCATAATATTTTGCTATATCCCAATGGGTATATTTTTCCCGATAAATTCGTAAATGTTAAGGGAAGCTACTCATTTAAATTTAAACATTGTCTCCATGAATATTAAAATGATTCCACGTCATGTTTTCTTCTTACGGTCTTAAGGCCAGTTTAAATACTCTTTACGTATTGTGCTAACACTTATTTAGTAAATAAGTTTTGATATTGCGTGAATTGTAATTTGATAAGGCTTGGCCCTCTAATAAGAGAGGTTTCTCAAATGGAAATTGATAATTATTGGAAAATTATTATGAACCAAATAGAATCAAAAGAAAGGATGATGAACCTTTAACAAAGTATAACACGATAAAAGTCATGACTAGAGAAAAAAAAGTTACACTGCCTACAGCATATTTTTTATGTAAAAGTAAAGAAGCATGAAACGTTCTACTTAAAACAAGGTAATATTCATTTATTTTTATGCACTTGATTTAAGCTAAAGCCCATCCTGCAAAGGATGATCGTCCTTCAAATCTGCTTATTATATCACCCCTGTAATACCGGTCCAGAGTTCTTACCAAAACATCATCTCCCTGGTCAACATGTACCACAACGGTACCGGTAACACTGCCATCAATAGTATTAGCTGGATCAAGATACGTCGATCCGGCGACATTGTTATTGACTAACAGTTCTGTTGAGTGATGTGCTGTTCCAAATATTCTTATAGTCCATGTAAAAACGTAAAACCCAGATCGGGGCGCTATAAATGTACCAGAGTGGGGATGGTAAGCATTTCCTGCATTGGTGATTACGTTATCAAACGTGAGGATATGGTGGCCGCTGGGGGATGGAACATCCTTTGATAAATACGCATAGAACGCAACAATGTTGCTGAGTGACGCAGTAGTTGTCACAGGAACAAGCAATCGCTCTGAGAAGAAATAAATGCAGTAAATAGAAATCAAAATTTTCTTCAAGTGATATAAATGTGATGTAACGTAAGTTGGCAGTTTATCGACGTATTTTACCTCTTCTTATCAAACTTTCTTTGTGTTGCTTGAGGGCCTTAGCAAAAACGGGATTTTCTTCTTGAGAGTGCATAAAATTTTGAAGTCGATCTTTCAGATTTCTGTACAGTTTTTCTTGGACGTTTTGTCTACTCAGTAACCCAGACATCTTTTTCATAATGGCCCTCTCAAGCGTTTCCACAGATAATATTTTCTTGGATTGTTTTTTCAAACGTTCTTCAAAACGCAAGTACTGTTTCTCTAGAATGTAAATCCGCTTATCTTGCTTGTTTTCCCTCTTGTGGAGATCGTTGGCTTTAAGTTTTTCCAGGTTACGGTTCCGCTTCTCTAACTTAGAAATTCGATCACTTTGGAGGTGTACGGTCGTCTGGAGTTCCTCTAATTTCTCCATCACCGCCTTCAAGTGTGTATTGGTACTAGGTGTTTCCCCAACATGGCCATTAACAGTGAGATAGAGAAATTGGACCAATATGAAAAGAAATAATCCCGTATGCATTTCAAGTCTAGTTCTTTCTGTTAATAGTGCTGACCTTATATACGTTATCTATGTGACTTTAGCCACATGGAAAAGATTTGATAAGTATATCATAACATTTTCTACAAATTAAATGTTCATTGTATTTCAGTCAGAAAGCCCCATTCTTACATGCATGCGCTTTATTTTTTAATTTCTAATACTAATTAAACTAAATAAATTAGGTAGTTGTTAAAATATCTGTTAATGATAATTTAACAAACTTAATTTATTCCTTAAGATATCCTTATTCTGTAATAATAGATTTAGGTCTTTATCCTATTGGGATCCTCTCTATTAGCAATTTTATCTACCTGAGAGCTCGTGTTCGGGTACTTTATGGAAAGTAACAGCCATGATGAGACCTGTTTAGCTTGTTCTGAAGTAGCCAGGGTGGGTGCTAAAAAACACCAGGTATTTACAGGAATAAAAATGTAATAATATGTGTATATAGTTAGAATCTACCAATTTGGTATGTTTTTTTTCACTACCGGGTATCTTTTCTCGGGGTCCTATCTCCTCGGGCTATTGTTCCGTTTCTAAAATGATACAGGTCTTGGGTGAGGTACTTAAATCCCTTGATACAATAACCAGTCCTGGGCGAGAGAGAGAGTGTTGGTTGTGTAGATACAGCACAGTCTGTTAGTTATGTGATTAAATGATATCGGAGAAAGAAATTAAATTAATAGATAAATAAATCAATGAAAACATGATAAATAATAATAAAAAAGTGCACACATCTGTCGTCGGGCGGCAGGTCCAAAGTCCTGGTAAGAAGTGATGTCTCCTTTCTTGGGCTTAAATCGAAATAGTCGCTTTTATGAGCGGAAGGACTGTAATTGTGGATGGAGACGGAAAGACGGTCATTTTGGACGAAGGAATAGCAGTTATATTGTTTGGAGACACAACAGCAACAATTTTGGCCAGAAATTGTGATTCCTGGTGGAAACTATGGGACTGCTATTTGGAGTCTTGAAAGGGGGTCAAAATAAAAAAAAAATACACCCTAATTACAAATACACCTTGAACAATTTTAATTAGTTCTCATCTTATTAGGGCAATAATACGATAACACATGTTTCAAATTAAATTCTGGGCTAAAAGCTGAACACAATTCGTAAAAGAAATGTTTCCGCCGTTTTTGTTCGGTTTCTCGCATATCTGAAGATCCCATTTGTCTAGACACTCTTCATTGTCACCTCTACTAATGTTATTGTGATTCAAATTCAAGACACGTGGTTTAGGTTTACCTATTCAAAGTTTATAGAGTAGAACCGGTTTTTTAAATAAAATTGGGAGTAAACAGGAAATTGCTATAGTCTGTTTTCTTTGAAAACATGTCCTGTGAAAAATGCGTTTCCAGACCTGACCTTTCTAAAAGACTTTCATGATTTTCAACAGAAATGGGTGGGTGAGGGGGGGGGGGATAACAATTAATACATTTTATCATAGTTTACTGCAAAAATTACAGCTCATGCAATGGCGACCATAGCCATAATGCAATTCTCATTAATATTCAGCTGATTTTTCAGTTAAAGGGTTTTATCAAAGGTCAACATGTCCAAAAATTTATTTTTATAATAACTCCAAAACTATGTGAGTTATAAAGTTAAAACTTTTACTTTTTATAAAATTTTTTATTGATTAACAGATAGAAAGTATCACTTGATAAAAAAAATGAGAAAAAATCTTTTTAAACATGCATATTTTTTCAGAAAATGTTCCTAATTAATTTCGTGCTTTTAGTGAAAACCATCACTGCGGAAACAAAATATGTTTATCAATGAAGGGCAAGTTACTTTGGGTAGCCCTGGAAATTGTTTTCCCCCGGGATTTTGTCCAAATGTTAAGACTTGAAAGCGAAAGTACATTGCAAATGGCGGGTTCTACAGGGGTCTTCTCTTTATACATGTCATGCTTTCAATAACAGCCTTTCAGAGACCATTCACGTCCAACTTGCCCTTCAATGATAAACATATATTATTTCTGAATATTAAGTTTTTACAAAAAGAACAGAATTAAGCAGGTGCATTTCTCTTTAAATATGCACATTTTCTACACAATTTTTATCAGAAAATATGTTTTTCAAAATATTTGTTATCAAATACTTTCTATCTATTAATCAATGATATACATGTATTTATAAACTTTAAACATTTTGCCTTTATACCACACATAGTTTTGGAGTATTGTAAAAATGATTTTTTCCCTGTTGACCTTTGGTGAAACCTTAAAGTCACATTGGTGCTTCATTTGCTAATCTGACCCCAAAAAAAAGTCCTGGGTTTCCCCTGAAAATAT